AGAAAGGTAACCATTCTCTCTCCATGTCATCACACCCAAAAGATTTGAATTGTGATTTTATTCTCCCAAACTTTTCTGAGATAAGAACTATTGAATCATCTAGGGCCCTAGATAGCATAATAGAATGCTGGATGTGGAATAAGGAAAACTTGAGTTCAAATCCTGCATCAGATGTTTACCAGCTGCGTGACCTTGGGCAAGTCACTTAATTTCTTTCAGCCCTCAGTTTTCTCTGTTAAATGGGGATAATAATAGAAGCTCTCCCCAGTACTTGTCACCATCCCTGGCACTTAGTAAGCACTTGTTACATTATCTATCTGTCTGTCTGTATGTCTCTCTATCTCCTGTCTATCTATGTATCTATCTATGTATCTATCTATGTATCTATCTATGTATCTATCTATGTATCTATCTATGTATCTATCTATGTATCTATCTATGTATCTATGTATCTATGTATCTATGTATCTATGTATCTATGTATCTATGTATCTATCTATCTATCTATCTATCTATCTATCTATCTATCTATCTATCTATCTACCTGTGCTTCTCTCCCCTGTCTATCTATGTCTGTCTAACTCCTCTACCTACTTATCTACTGACCTACCTGCCTGCCTGTCTGTCTCTCTCCTCTATTTCCCCATTTATCTATCTTTTCTACACACTTACCTACCAATCTACCTGCCTATCTATCTATCTATCTATCTATCTATCTATCTATCTGTCTGTCTGTCTGTCTGTCTGTCTGTCTGTCTGTCTGTCTGTCTACATCCTCTAACTGTGTCTCTATCTGAGCATCAAATAAAATCGTACATAATAATATGCAAAGTGTTTTGCAAACCTTATAATCATGTTTCACTGTTGTTATTAGCCAGAGGGGTGTTAGACAGATCAAATGAGGTAACATAGTAAAATGAGTAGCAAACCTTAAGATGCCATATTATGAGTTATTATTAGTGCAGGGGATCAAGTCCAATTCCTTTAATTTACAGGAAAAGAAACCGAGGCCAAAGAGGTGAACCCAGAGAATCACAGAATCTCAGAACTGTCAGAGACTTGGCAGTCTCTGAAATATCTCAGAAACATGAGCATCCAGCTTTTCCACGCCACTCCCACCTTCTAGCTCATGCATGAACTCTTTTGGACAGTTCTAATAAACAAGAAGCTCTAATCTGCCTCCATGCAATGAGATAACCCGACTAGCTCTCAAATAAGATCAAGAAGGAAGCAAGATAATTTTCCTGTTTCTTCTCAATTTATTAGCTGTGTTTTGTTTACAGCCTCCTCATACTTGGACACACCCTGTCTATTTTCACATTAGCTTCTCATTAAGCCTGCATTCAATCTGGATAATGAGCTTTTTTTTTTTAAGATTTTTCTTCTTTAGTGAGTTTTAGCCGTCTTAATTAGTGGTACATTTTGGGACTTCGTAGCAAAGACATTCATCACAAAGATGATTTCACTGAAAGGGGTGTTTACATTTAAGCTGCTATATCCCTCTGCCAATCCCCTACCCCCATCCCAATCTGCCCACATATTTAGAAGTCAGCATGTGTCCGTGGGCCTGCCTGCTGGGTAATTACTGACTTTCAGTTGTTCTGTTTTTTGTCGCTATTTGTTGTTTCCGTGGGCTATCTTCAGACAGACAAATGTATGGACTGATAGACAGATGATTGACAGATAGATAGATAGATAGATAGATAGATAGATAGATAGATAAATGGATAATTTAACCAATGCTTACTAGGGACAATGCCAAGTGCTGGTGATTCAAATAAAAACATGCTATAGGCAACCCCTGTCCTCAGGAAGCTTACTTGCTAATATAGAAGACAACAAGTAAAACAGAGCTCGAGGGGGAGGGGGGGAGGGAGAGGGTATATGTCAGGTGGCATGGAATGAGATGTCCAGGGAGTTCAATGAAGACTAAGAACTGGACAAGGTAAGGCCAAAGCTGGTTTATTAAGTCTGTAGTTCAGTTTTCTACTGGGAAGGGAATAGAATCAATGGTAGAAGTGAAGACAGCAGGATTTGGAGATGACTTCAGGGCACCTGCATAGAAACTCATGTATTAGTTGTTGGAATCAGGATTTTTCCCTCTCTTGTGAGTTTATTTATTTATTTTTTATGGGGCTTGTGATTTTATTTATGTGGGGAGCTCTTGATACGGAACTCTTTCTACCTTTTCTGCAACCTGCAGTCTTAGAGAATGGACTGGGGCCACTGAGAGGTTAAATAATTTGCCAAGCTTCACATTTCATTTAAAAAATTTAATATAATTTTATTTTGTAATAGACCAGGGCATGAGGGGCAGCACTGCATAATGGATAGAGGTGGCACTGAAAAGAGAAGGACCTTGATTCAAGGGTTACCTTTGATATATACTGGCTCTGTTGACCCTAAATTAAGTGAATTAAATGAATTTGCTTAACCTTTTCATTCAATAAAACACTTAGCAAACATCTGCTGTGTGCCACTCACTGTGCTAAATGCTGAGGATATAAGAAAAGGTAAAAAGACAGCCCTGCCCTCAAGGAGCTTACATTCTTTGGGAAGAAGACAACACACAAAAGAAAACTGAAAAGGGGGGGGAGGAGAGGCAGAAGTCAGTGGAGTACAGCTGATAGGCAAATGAAGAGATGGCTGGCCCAGGCTCCCGCCTTAACCTGGAAGTTTTGGGGGAGCTCTCCACCCTCTAAGCAGAGGGAAGGGTCTGGGGAGGTGGGACAGAGCTCTATAGAACTCTCTAAAAGTATAAAATTGCAGAGAAGTACCAACTTGAATTGATAGGGCAACTATTGTCACCTGGGACTTGCTTATATCAATTAAATCACATATATAGTTCTTGTCACTTAGGGAAAAGCAGCTTAGAGCATTGAATCCTTTCCTTAAAGTCAAGAAGACCAGGGATCAGATCCCACTTCTACTATATTGAGTAAGCATTTATTAAGTGATGACAATGGAGTTAAGTACTGGCAACAGAAAGAAAAAACAGAAAGCATCCCAGATGTCAAGGAATTTATATTCTCATGAGGGTGACAAATTATATAAATATAAGTACATGGAAGATTCATATGAAATAGTTAAAAGGTAACTTTTAAGGAGAAAACTCTACCACAGGGGTTCTTAACCTAGAGCTTATAGAGATTCAGTGGGTAGATTTCAGGGGTTGATGAACTGGGATAGGAAAACAATTACATATTTTTTTCACTAACCTCTAACTGAGATTTCATATTTCCTTCAATTATGAATATTGGCCACAGACTGCATTAGTATTAGGCCATAGCAGTCTGCCAAGGTCGTCTATTAGACCCATACCTAAAAGATTAAGACTCCCTACTCCGATGGTTTGGGGTCCATGAAGGTCCTCCTGCAGAATAATAGGAAGGAAGCCAGGGATTGCAAATGGCAGAGGGAAAGACCAAGCACATTCCAGGCAAAAGCACACTGGGTTTGAGGAATTGTAAGTAATCCAGTATTGCTAGACCATTGGCTGTGTAGAGGGGAAAGGTAGGAAGTGCAGGTCTTTCAATGACAGAAGGAGGATTTTATATTGGATTTTAAGGGCAATAAGCAGCCATATGAGGGAAGAGGAGCAAGTTGTAGGAAAATTCCTTTGGCAGCTATGTGAAAGATAGATTGGAATGGAAGACACTTGATACTGGGACCCCAAATGGGAGATTATTGTGCTGGTTCAGATGAGAGATGGTGAGGGCCTGAATAGTCATGGTGTAAGCAAAGGAAAAGGGATTTTGTGAGAAATTTTATGGAGAAAGGAAGTACAAGTCCAAAAACTTGATAAGATATGGGAAGGGAGAAGGTACTGTGTGTCACACAACCTTTTAGGAAGCTTTCTCAAAATAGGTGTCAATCTGCATTGGTAGAGGGACTCTCCTCCCTGGAAGTTCCCCATCTCAATGAAAGCAAAGTGCCAATCCAAAACATTTATTTCACTGGCTCTCATCTGAAATGCCTTCTCATGTTTTTCTTTACCTTGTGGCTCTCTTACACTTCAAGGCTGTTTGTGTCAGAGCTTTAATTATCTGCTTGTCCCAGGAACAATTACATAATTGTTTTTCATTTTCTTGCTCTATTTGGTGATTATAACTAAAACCCTGAAAAGTACATCAGCTGCATTGGGAAGGAAAGGGATCATTCTATGAAAATATATCTTGAAGAAGAAGAAGGGACTGGAAAATAGTTTATACATAAAGGAGATATACCCTCACACACACATATATGGCCATAAGTCTATTTGAGCAGAAGGAAAAGAGCAGCTTGGATTGAATTTGGGAAATTGCAGAGCTCCCTCATGGATCCCAAACTTCCCATAAAAGCAAAGGCCCATCTCTTTGGAATAAATGGAAAAAATTACATAGTCCAACTCTCTTGTTTTCCAGATGAATGAAGAGAAGCTAAGTATTTGAACATGTAATTGGACTCTAACCCAGCTTTTTTTTTAATCCTTTCATTTTTTTGGTTATATTTTTATGTGGTGATTTCACTGGTTTAGAGAACTCCCAGTGAGGGAATCTCCCTCTACCAGTATAGATCACTATTTTCTCTCTAATTTACTGTCAAAGAGTTGCCTGGATGCCCAGAGAGGTTGTGACTTGCCTAGCGTCAGGCAGATCTTATGTATTGAAGGTGAGACTTGACCTTCCAGTCTTTCTGACTGTAAGGAAAGCTGTTTCTTTACTAACCAAGCCCTCTCTATCCCAGCCTTCTCCCTTCCCTTGTCCAGTCCCCTTTCTCTCACACCACAGTTGCTTGTCTAGACTGGATTCACATTCTCTTCAATTCCTTGACTGGGTTCCCATAAGCAATTAACAGCTTAGAGCCATAAAGAGCCTTGTTAAGCATTGCCCTTACACCCAAGATTCTCAGGATTGGCTGAACAAGGGAAATCAGAGAAAGATTTAACATTACAGACACTTCCTTAGTTAAATAATACTTACCTAGTGACAATTTGTGCTTATGTGCAAAGCCCTACTAACCTTGTGTCACTGGGAAGTTCTAGGTAGATAAAGATTTGAAACCCATTGACTTGCTGTACAGAGTAAAATTTTTTGTTTGTTGTCCGATCGTGATGCTTCCTCTTTGGTTCTTTCTCCTTTTTCTTGACAGTTCTTGAGAAATCCTGATCTAAAGAGAGAATGAGAAACTGAGAGGTTTTTATGAGAGTGCCTTGGATAAAAACACTAAGATTATAGTTTCAACTCCATTCAATGAGTATACCTACTATATATCAGCCATTCTGCTCCTTCTGTTGATACTAGGATAAAAACAAAACAGTCACTACACAAAGGGAGCCCACATTGTATTGGACAGAAATAACATTTATACAAAAAAAGCAAAACACATAGAGGTAGGAGAGGAGACAGACACAGGCTTCAGAGTCAGAAAGACTGACCCAAATTTCTCTTCTTCCTCCAACTGGGGTTGACTTGCTCATGGTCACAGATCTAGTAAGTGTCTGAGACCAGATTTGAACTCAGCTCCTCCTGATGCAGGAGCTGGTACTCTATTCACAGCTGCCCCAGCTCTCTAATTCTTTAAGTTGCTGAACATGTGCCAATCTGCTTTGGAAGAAGTTGCTCACCAGGAGCTCCCACCACAGATGAAATCTGGTTTAAAGAAAGAAAGCAGAAATAAAAAGCATTTGGGGTAGATGAGGAAGCTCTAACAATTGATGTCATCAAAAAGGGTCTGGTAAAGGAAGGAAGTGGCATTTAAGTCAGCTACCTGTCATAAAAGCTCTCTCTCTCATTCTCTTTCTTTTTTCAGAAGAAGAAGGAGATGGAGAGAGAATGAGAAAAAGAAAAACAAGTCAACAAGACAAATGGAGGCATCACCTGATCTTGATGGAGTCTGACAGTGTATGCAGCCCCCCTACCTACTATATTGCTTTCTTCCTGAGCAATGGCAAATTTATGGTAGATGTCCTTACTCATCTAATTTTAGAGCTCTTACGTCTAGGTTTATGATTAACTTACACTATGGTCATAGATTTAAAGCTTCAGAGAACCTTAATATTCATCTAATTAATTAATTAATAATTATTATATATAATAATATATAATTAATAATTAATTAATAATTCAGCTAATATTCATTTTTGGTTTTGTTTTGTTTTGCTTTTTGTCATGGAAACTTTTCACCATCTGAGGAAGTCTATGCACTCCTTCTCTGAAGGGTGCTTTTAAATGCATAAAATAAAATATATAGGGATTACAAAGGAAACCAATTATCTCAAAATACAGTTTTTGAAATATTTTTAAAGTTCATGTACTACAGATTAAGAGCCCATATCTACTCTAACCTTATCATTTTCAAGATGAAGAAACTGTTGCTTATCTTCCCCAGATGACACAGATATTAGGGACCAGAGCTGGGAGGAGGATTTGAACTCAGGACTCTCTATTCTGCTATACTTCTTCCTTGTACAGATGCCATTTCATAGCCATTTAAATTTGGTCATTCTTTTGGTTGGCTTCTGGGACATGAAAAGCATAGTTGGTGAACACTGGCTGAGAGATATTCATTCTGCTTTGCTATTTGTGATGCCCTTGGTGTGGGACCCTAGAAAAATCAAAGCTAGTATGAGAAAATATTAGTCCTTTAATAAGAATCAACAACAACAACAACAACAACAACAACTCTGTGTGAGCTTAGATAACAATTGCATTAGGGAAAGGAGGGAAGTTTTGTCAAGTCTATCCCTGAATCCAGTTTCATAGTTGTAAGATTTTTGTGTCTAACATTGTTTAAACTTGGCAAAATACTGCTTCCTTTTTTGAGGGAAGAAAAGGACTTAAGAAGGCTCATAAAAATATTCAAAAGGTTTTTCAGATGTCAAATAGTTCTTACAAAACTATGTTTTGATGAGTTAAGTGTAGAGGAATCAAAACCATATGGATTATACTTCTTTTTAAATACACACCAATGTTGAAATTAAGGGAAAATCCTTGGAGAGGAAAATGGGCTATAGGTGTTGCCAAACTCCAAATACTCAAAAAACTGCTTTGAGATATTTGATGAATCTAAAGCAGAGCTGGGTTCCTCCATTCCTTATTATCACCATGTTTTCATGTTATATCCTGTAAAAATATAGTGTCAGCAATGGCCTCTATGTGGATATCTCAAAGGAGCTTGGGGATTTACAGATTTCTATAGAATCATCTTTGCCCAAATCCAGAATTCAAAGTAAATCATACTTCAGAATTCAACACAAAGTTCAACATTCTTCACTTGTTAAGAGTTTATTCTAAAATGTCACAAGCCAATCCCAAATAGGAATTATCCCAATAGCAATAATAAATTTTCTTAGGATAGCTTCACTAGTAAGAGTTTCTTCTAGTTAAACAATCATTGAAAGAAAATGTAGACATTTCAGTCAGGAGTCAAATAGCTCACTGTGTCCTATTTAATCTCCACACCCCTCTGATGTAAGGAATGTAATTAATGTTAGCTTCATTTACATCTGAGGAAATTCAAGTTTAGACAAGATTAAACAACATGTCCTCAGTCCCAAAGCCATTGAGAAGCAGAGCTAAAACTTAAATCCAAATCTTCTGATTCAAAGTTTAGCGTTCTTTCCACCATATTGCATTGCCAAGTATGGAAAATTTGGTGGGTCTACTCAATTTAAGTTAATATCTGATTTTAATTTTCCTTTGGAATTTCTAGATGAATGTTCTATTAAAGATGATGAAAAGAACATTTTTATTGAAGACAGTCTTTAACTCCTAGGATGACACCAAAGTCATGAATGGTCTGCAAAAGACAAAGAGATGGAGTTACTGGATCATCAAAATTAGTCAACATGGTGGAGAGTATTGTAGTCCAAAGTGGTAAAGAATAGGATGGACAAGTCTTAACTAAGATCATTAGCAAGTAAATAATAAGACTATTCCTTCCTTCCTTCCCTCCCTCCCTTCTTCCTTCCTTCCTTCCTTCCCTCCCTCCCTTCTTCCTTCCTTCCTTCCTTCCTCCTCCCTCCCTCCCTTCCTTCCTTCCTTCCTTCCTTCCTTCCTTCCTTCCTTCCTTCCTTCCTTCCTTCCTTTAAAAGGATAAGGAGGATTTAGAAACAGCCATTTCAGAGGCTAGATAGCTTAATTTGTGGAATATTGGACTTGGAGTCAGAAATAGTTGGTTTCAAATTTCACTTCTGATACTTACAAACTTTTTGAACTTGAACAAGTTATTTAACCTTTGTGTACTTCATATAAATCTCCAAGATTTAACTTCCGAGTTATAGATGAGCTATAATCTGCATTACTATAGGGTATTGCCACATTGATGAAAATTGATTTCCGTAGCAAAAAATAATTGCATGTGTTTGCTATTTAGATAGCATTTTAAGGATTGTAACCGCATTATCAGTCTACCTATAACATTTATTAAGCACCTATGTGTCAGGCACTGTGCTAAGTGCTGGTAAGTGTTATTATCCCCATTTACAAACCAGAGGTTGAAGCCAAGGGAGATAGTTGACTTGACCATAACCACAAAGCAATCAGAGACTTGCATCCTCATCTTCTCACTCCTAGCTCCACGATCATTAGAAAAACACCTTAACATGAGACACAGATTAACATGACATACCCCACATTTGAAAAGGTTGAATTGTAACACCCCCAAGAACTCTAACTCAATGACAGAAATCTCTTGGGTTAACTCCTTATAACACGATGTGATTAGTATCCTGATTGTGTCATATACTGCCTGAGACAAGGCCAATGAATCCCAGTGGTTAGGCAAATCCCAGGTTAAGGGGAAAGATGATTCTCAAAGCAGGGCATGAGAGCCATATTTTAAACTGAGAGGTGAGCCAGTGTAAACCAACATGGCCAGCATTGACATCACAGTGTCTCAGTACTGTGATGAATAGGAAGTCTGCTTGTAGACTTGAGAGCCTTGGAACCATGGGAAGAGCATCTTGCAGAGCAAAGATTTGGAGCTGGAAAATTGATATTCATTGACAACAGCAACAACAATAACATTACCGTTGATCCTCAAAGCCACTCTGTGAGGTAGGTGCTACTGTTATCTCCACTTAGCAGATGAAAAAACTCAGAGGTTAAATACTTTATCCAGGGCCACACAGCTAGTAAGTTGCCTGAGGCAGAATTTAGACCCAGATCTTAGTGATACCAAGTCCAGGACTCTACCCACTGAGCCACCTAACTGCAAAGTCAAAAGCAGTGATTGTGGCCATTTGTCTGACTCCACCCAATGTCTGAAATCTCTGACCTTTTATTTCATTAAAAAATGTAGCTTCTTCCATTCTCTCTTATTGCTTAGTCATTTTTCAGTCATGTCTGACTCTTCATGATCCCATTTGGTGTTTTCTTGGCAAGGATACTGAAGTGGTTTGCCATTTCCTCTTCCCGCTCATTTTACAGATAAGGAAACTGAGGCAAACAGGGTTAAATGACTTGCTCAGGGTCACATAGCTAGGAAGTATCTGAGGCCGGATATGAACTCAGGAAGATGAGTCTTCCTGACTCCAGACCTGGCGCTATGCACTGCATCACCTAGTTGTCCCTTGTATTCCCTACTCTCTCCCTATTTGGACATACCACCACAGTTATGGGAACAGTTCACCCAACTTAAGGCTGTGATCTAGATAGATTCTTTGGGTAAGTAGTTTTAAAGACCTAAGGCAACTTTTGAGGGTTCTAAAGAAGTTAGGGTCAGAGTAGCATAGATGTGTTATTAATGCAAAAGCCCAACTGATGCACTTAAAAATTCCTATTATCTGTAACTATTCCTAAAAGGGATGCCTTTTCCATTACCTTTACCATCCCAATTAAAAAAAAATTCCCATCAAGGTGGAATATCTGAATTGTTGCCGAGTTTGCACTTCAGAAAACAAACAACAATAACAACAGTAAAACATGGTGGTATCCAAACAGTAAATGTCTGTCTCATGGTCAATTTGAAAAATTAGAGAAGACGTTGTTCTTGGAGAAGTAATTTCTCTGCCCCAAAATACTTCCCATACACTCAGAGATTGGGGATAAGGAGTGGAAGAATGGAAAAGAAATCATGATTTTCCTCTCTTTGCTATAGGGGCCAGGAGTGTGATGATACTAGTAAATATGACCCCTGTCCTCAGGCAGATTTGTAACTAAATCAGAGCTATAACGCAGGATTCTGGCATCTGCAGTGAATTCCCAGGGGGTAGGTGGCAGAAAACAGTTCACTTGAATTAGGTACAGTTGTGCTGATAAAGAAAAAGAGATTGAACTGAACCCTGGAGAAACTGGCCCATGTCTCCAATCTAAAGGCCATGCGGGAAGCAGGAGATTTCAATGGGGACATGGTAGCTGGGATAGAGACACAGCCTGGAGAGAAAATAGGTCTCAGCTGAGGAACACCTTGGGAAGGGCACCCTGCAGTTAGCTGTCTTAGGCTAGATGAGGGAACAAGAAGCAGTCAGATAGTGGCATAGATGCAGGTGAACATTGGATCGTCAAGTGTGGGGAGGAAACAGAGAGGAGGCATGACCTCTCAAATGCCAGCAACCTGAAACAGGGCTCTAGTCATCCTGCCTTGGTTACAGCTCTGGGGCTAAATAGAGACTGCCTGTAGAGAAAGTGACCCAGGGCCAGCATATGATAGGTAGGTTTGTTGATAATTGAAGAACTGTACCTCAAGAACTCT